GGAATAGCGTTCAGAAAGCAGGGCACATGGGGTCTCAGAGCTCCTTTCAGCACTGCTCAGTCCTACTCCAGTCAGTGCTCAGAGCTCAGAGCTGGGTGGGCTCTTGTAGGAGCCTCTGGGTTCTCAACCTGACTATGGTGGGCAGATAAGATGTCCCAGTTGAACTTCCTCCAGTCTGGGAGGACACTCCAGCTGTCAGACACCACAGCATCACCTGCCTTTGGTGTAGCATTCCTGGAAGCCTCTACCTATTCATCCTGTAAAAATGACATCACTTCCCTCTAACACCTGGAGGAGCAGGAAGCTGGTGCATCCTCATCTAAGGGCTTAATCAATTCAGACCAGCCTCTGTGAATTAAGGGCCCCCATGAAGAGGTATACAGTCTCACTATGCCTCTTCCGTTAAAAAAAAAACTTTCAGGGAGGTTTGAGGAGAGGTTGGAGTGGTGGACAGGAAAGGGGGAATGAAGGAATGAAGGGAGCTAACACCATTCTCTATGTTAATTGAAGTGTTAGTTTCATTGCTGGGGAAAATTTGAAAATGACAGTGCAGTTGGAAAACTATTTTATTCTTCTTTATGGGTTTGATGAACTGTTTGAGAGTTAATGTTTGTTCTTGGGAAGCAGGATATGTGTATTACAAGGACACGTGTGTATTTGAAAGAATAATGGGAATCTGGGACCCCTGGAAAAAGCCTGATGCACAGTGTTCACCATCACCCTGGACTGTCTGGAGGGCCTGAAGTGCCAAATGCCACAGTGTACCGTCCTGTGGAGGCCCTTGGCTTGTGAGTCTGGACTGAAGACCCCAGATTCTGGGAAATGTCATCCTGAGAGAACAGGGATGAACAGAAAGACACAAAAGTTCCTGAGGGGAGTGGAGTTTCTGGAGTGAGGAAGATTTGACAAGGCAAGGGTCAGAGGCTGGAGGTGCTCTGGCCAAGGAGCAAGGTTATAAACTGAGGCCACCTAGAATGGAATCTCTCTGAGGGTGCAATTCCTCGGGGACTTCTTTTTCCACACACCAATTTGATAGCTCTATGCAGTGACTGTTTTTAAGTTCTTTCCCTCATGGGTTGTCATTCTCTAAGGTGTATCCCAACCTCTCAGTCAAGTCTCACACAGCCAGTCCACCTGCATGTGAAATGTGGGAAGAAGTGAGGTTGACCCTGCCGGAGAGAGATGAGCCCTGGCCCTATTCACTTGGCCTATGTCTAGATAACCAAAGCTCATATGGTCCCGGATATAGTTAGCAGCATGGAGAGTGATGTTCCTAGGAGTGGAGGACACCATGGATGTTGCCTTCTAGAAGGTCTATAGTTCTTCATTATATCCTCAGCATCTAGACAGTACTCTGTACACAGCAGCGATTCAATAAGTGCTTGAGTGACACTTTATAGGCTATCTCCACTAAAGATATATGAATATCTGGCTGGGTGTCTTGGCTTGCTTGAGCCCAGGAGTTCAAGAGCAGCCTGGGAAACACAGTGACACCTCATCTTTACAAAAAATATAGAAATTAGCCGGGTGTGGTGGCATGTGCCTGTAGTTCCAGCTGCTTGAGAGGCTGAGGCAGGAAGATTGCCTGAGCCCAGGAGATCGAGGCTGCGATGAGCTGGAATCATACCACTGCACTCCAGACTGGGTGACCGAGTGAGAACCTAACACACACACACACACACACACACACACACACACACACACACACACACGAATATTCAACGAATACAGGAAAATATAAGGAGGGGATCCCCAAAAAACCCAGAATTTATTTATAAAAATTGTGTATTTATTCTTACATGTTAAACTTCAGTCACCTTCGAAGTACTCTCTGTTTGATGCAATACAACTATCGAGATGCTTTTTCCACTGCTCAAAACAGCTTTTAAACTCATCAATTTTGATACCTTTTAGTGCTTCTATCATTTTTTGCTTCACCTCTTCCATATCTGCAAAATGCTTCCCTTTGAGGACTTTTTTCATCCAGGGAAACAAACAAACAAAAAAAGTCACTTGATGAGATTAGGTGAATAGGGAGGGTGGGGCACAGGGGTCATACCATTTTTGGCCAAAAACTGCTGAACACTCAGCTCGGTGTGGGTAGGTGTGCTCATACATCACACATCACAAAATGATCAAATGCACTGAAAGAATTTCCAGAAAAAAAAAAATTCACCAAAGCTGAATGCAGCCTCTCACAACAATGCTAACTGGTACACTGATTCCAATGGGTTCTTAGAACATTTACCTAGTGGGGGAATGGTTCCCTTCATATGCTCAAAATCACTAGAGAAATGTAAATTAAAACCATGACAAGATAGCATTATACCCACTAAAATGACTGAAATGAAAAAGACTGGCAATATCAGATGTTGGCAGAGATGTGGAGCAACTATAAACTCCATACAATACTGATGGGAATGAAAAATGATGCAGCCACTTGAAAACAGTAAGATGATATCTTGTAAAGTTAAACATACACCTTGGGGTCCCCTCCCACTGTGGGAGTTTTTCTATCCTCTCAATAAATCCGACTTACTTTTTTTTTTTTGAGTTGGAGTCTCACTCTGTCGCCCAGACTGGAGTGCAGTGGTCGCTCCCGGCCACCACAGCCTCGACCTGCTGGGCTCCGGTGATCCTTCCGCCTCAGCCTTCCAAGTAGCCAGAACTACAGGCACGCACTACCACACCCGGCTGATTTTTTGATTTACTGTAGAGATGAGGTCTCGCCAAGTTGCCCAGGTGGGTCTCGAACCCATGGGCTCAAGCAATTCACTCACCTCAGCCTCCCAAAGCGTGGGATTACAGGCTGAGCCACCGAGCCCAGCTAAATCCTGCTTTCTAAAAATAAATAAATAAATAAATAAAAAGTTAAGCATATTCTTACCATACAATTCAGCAATTTCAGTATAAGAGAAGTGAAAACTTATGATCAAAGATTTGTATGTGAATGGTCATAGCAGCACTGTTAATAAATAATCAAAAACTGAAAGCAACCCAAATGTCCAGTTACTGGTGAATATACAAACTGTACTATGAAATACTACTCAGCCCCGAAAAGGAATGGGATATTAATATATGCAACATGAATGAATCTAAAAAACATTATGACAAGAGAAATAATAAAATATTAAAGACTATGTACTGTAAGATTCCTTTTATATGAAACTCCAGAAAAGGCAAAATTATTATTATTATTACTTTTTTTTGAGTCAGAGTCTCAATCTGTCACCCAGGCTAGAGTGAAGTGACATGCTCACGGCCACCACAGCCTCAACCTGCTGGGCTCAGGCAATCTTTCCACCTCAGCCTTCCAAGTACCCGGAACTACCACACCCGGCTATAGAAAAGGCAAAATTATAATAACAGAAGCCAGATCAGTGACTGCCTGGGGTTGAGGATAGGTGAGGAGATAGACTGCAGATGAGCAAGAAGAAACACTTCAGGGTGCAAAAACCATCCTATTCCTTGATTGTGGTGGTGGTAACATAATGGTGTATGTTTTCCAAAATGCATCAACCTGCACACCCAAAATTTGTCAATTTTATTGTATGTAGAAAATAATAAAATGCAAATTTTAGGTAAAAAGACCACCACATCTAGATATGCCATGTCCAAACTTTGGACTAATTAGCGATAAAAATAAAATCTTTTTTCTTTCTTTTTGAGTTGGAGTTTGGAGTGCAGTGGCATGCTCACGGCTACCCCAGTGTCGACCTGCTAGGCTCTGGCAATCCTTCCGCCTCAAACTTCCAAGTAGCTGGAATTACAGGTGTATGCTACCGCGCCTGGCTTTTTAAAAAATTAAGTGTAGAGATGAGGTCTCACCAAGTTGCCCCAGCTGGTCTTGAACACGCAGGCTCAGGCAATCCACTTGCCTCGACCTCCCAAAGTGCTGGGATTACAGGCTGAGCCACCAAGCCCGGCCAAAAATAAAATCTTGAAGGTAGTCAGAAACACACAGAGGAACAAAAAATTATAGAAGACTTTTATTCAGAAACTATGCAAGCCAGAAGCCAATGGAGTAACATCCTTAAAGTACTGACAGAAAAAAACAGTCAATCCAGAATTCTATACCTCCACACCTAATAAATATCAGTGGGTAAATTAATTGACAGTGGTTGTAGGGAGACATGAAAAGGACAGTATAAAGATGCAATTTAGTATTTGTTGATAAACTGCATAGCCTGTCTTGAGAATGGTTGTCTGTATAACTTTCCCCTTGCCAACTGAACTGTGCTAAACAGAAATTTTAAAGGTGATATTAGATATTAACACTTCTCTTTCAGATAGGAGTATGATACCAGACGGAAATTTAGATCTACACAAAGAAGAGTATTGAATGTAGTAAAAATGAATGTAAACTTAAAAGTCATAAAGTTATTCATGAAAAGAAAAAAATTGCGCTCTAAAGGGATACATGAGTAGGCAGGAAAGAATAAGAATGTTCCTTGAGGGGCATGAGAGCCTCTAAAATTGCTAGAAGGATTTGTGCAGCCGGCCAGTGCATGATGGACAGAAAAAGGATGGGAAAGAATCACAGTCACCTAGCAGGATAACAATGGCGTGGCTTTGCCCTGGTTACAAAGCCCTGAGACCTCATGTAGTCTTACCTTCCTGGGAGGTAGGTAAGGCAGGCAGGCACATTATTATCCCTGCTTTATAGAAACAGCAATGGAGTCTCAGAAAAAACAAGTGACTTGCCCAAGAAACCATATTAAGTACCAGACAAAACTGTGTGTTTTCTATTACATGCCTTTTGGGATAACTTAGTCCAGTCCCCTCCAACGAACAAATACCTTCGAAAGCTCTTGGACATTTGTGAAACAAGCAGCACAAATCTTGGGATTCACGTTGTTAACCAGTCCTCGGGCGGCCTCCTATATCACGGGCGAATATCCGCTTTCCAAGGCTGCAGCTGGACAGAGGAGGGGCGAGGTCGCCCAATGGTAAATCATTCGGGCGGGGCCGGCGAGTAGGGGGCGGGGCGGACGCGGCGCGTCCGTTGCTAAGGCCGCGCAGCCTTAGCGACTAAGCGCCCGGCGGCCGCCGCGCAGGCGCCGTGGCGGACTCCGGTGCACTGTGGGATGGAAACTCGAGCGGCGAGTCTAGGCGGGACCGGGCGGCGGCGGCGGGGCCGGCGGCGGCCAGGGACCCGGGCTTAGGCTCGGCCGGGCCGGCTGAGGGGCGCGGGCGGCCAGCCGGGCAGCGGGTGCCGCCATGAACGCGACAGTGGTGAGGCGGACGCAGGAGTCGCTGGGGAAGGTGATCCGGAGGCCGCCGCTGACAGAGAAGCTGCTGAGCAAGCCCCCATTCCGCTACCTGCACGACATCATCACAGAGGTGGGCGCCGGGGCGGGGGCCGGGGCCGGGTGCAGGCCGGGGCCGGTGTGTGATCGGGGTCAGGTTGGGGGTTGGGGGCTGGGTCTGGGGCGGGCCAGTTCTGGGGGCTGGGGCTGGGCCCGAGTGCTGATGGGGGCCGG